TAACCTCTTCAGTTTAGCCCCCTTCTGGGGTAATAAAAAGTCCAAATGATCATTTGTCTGACTCTTTAGAGCTACACTGAAGTTCTCTGCTTCTTGGCCCTTACCCCCAGACCCTGCAGAGCTTTTCCTATGGTACTTCATCCTAGCAGGTTTTTCATGTCTGGGGACTCTGGAAGCTTATCTCAGGGCTGTCTCTGTTCCTTGTAGGCCCTAGCTCAGGGCTTTCCCATGGATTCCTGCCCTGCTCCCTTTAGGCCTTCCAGCCTAACTTCCCCAAGAACTCTCCTTGCTCCTCTCTCCTGAATCTCCCTCTCCACTGCATTCACAGCTCTATTTAAGGAGTTCTCTCCCTGATCCCCCTCAGCTGGGGTCTCTCATTAAGCTCCATCACACCCAGCTGGATCATTAGTTTCTAGATCACTAGAGTGGCTGAAGAATAGCTGCTAAGTCACAGGCAAGGCTGAGCCCAGCTTTCCTTAAAGGGCTAGCCAGCCTTTGATCCTCCGCTGAGGACACCCTGCTTCCACTCCTTAAGAGCTCAAGTCTAGGGGTTTCCAATGAGTGGCTATATGAAAACTGTGATTAATTTCTATTTTTGTGTATATATATTTTGTGTATATTACACCAAGGCTCAGAGCCAAAGAAGCCCTTGTGAGTTGAACACAAATATGACAATTAGCTGCAGAAACTAGATTTTTAGAAACCTAGACAAAACTGAAACTGTAAATCCATCCCCTCCTGGCTGCCTTTGCCCTCATTCATCCCCTTCTCTCATCCTTCTTTTTGACCTCTCTCTCCTCTGGCTCCATCCGCACACAATACAGGCATGCTGTGGCTTCCTCATCCTCAAAAGGCCATCTCTTTACTCCATCTGTGTCTCAGCTGCCTCCATTCTCTCCTTTCTCGGGACTCCAAACTTCAGTTTAGATCCCATCTAATGCAGCTTCTGCCCTTTCCTCTGGACTGAAACTGTCATAAGGTCATTAAGGACCTCTTCAAGGCCATATCTCAGAACTTGAACTCCATCCTTACCCTCCTTGACATCTGACACTGTCAATCATACCCTCCTTAATATCCTGTCCTCCTTGGACTTCTGTATCTTCATCCTCTCCTTCCTCTAATACCTTCAGCCTCTTTCTGTAGGAAAAAGAGAGGAGAACCCAATCTCTGTAGGAATCTCTATTCCCTTTATACCCTCTTGTTGTGCAATCTCATTCACTCACATGATTTCAGCTACCATCTTTATGCCAGTGATTCAGAAATCTAGCTTTCCGGTCCTGACCTGTTTCCCTCAATCCAATCCCAAATCTCCACTCAACCTCTGACATCTATTCCTGCACACCTTAATAATAGCTTAAACAACACAGCTAAAAACTAATTTATATTTCTTCCTATACTCTCCCCCCTCTCTCCCATTCTGTTACTACCAATAATTCCACCAACCTCTGTCACTCAAGTCCATAACCTAGGAGTCATCGTTCACTCTTCCCTATCCCTTAACCCACACATCCAGGCTAGGTCCAGATCTTGCAGCTTTCTACTCAGTTCTGTATTTAAGTTCTAACCTCTTCTTTCTATTAACACAGGTAAAACTTTCATTCAGCCTTCATCATATCCCATATTGATTAGTATAACTTCCTCCTCTCTAGCTTCCCTGATACCTATATCTCCCCATCCCTCCTATCTTTAATCAATTCAAACACAGCTACTAAAATCATCCTCCTTCTCCAGTGTTCTGTGATTGTCATCCCCATCCATACTTCCTCTTGCTCCCCATTTTCCTTTCCCATCATATCCAGTACAAGCTTGTTGTCCCAACCTTCAAGGCCTTACAAAGCTCTGCCCTCCATACACATCTGCTCATCTCTTATCATGTTGTCCCTATGCCCATTACTACTGCTCTGCCAAAGATGCTAGCCTAGACTGCTTCTCTTACAACCACTTTGGTGCCTTCTTGAATGCTGCCACTTATGCATGGAAAGTCCTTCCTGAACTAATTCATAACTAATCCTTTCCTTCAAGTCTCTGCTCAAGACTCATTCTCTTTCATAACTCCTACAAGAAACTGGCCCACTAGTCATGGATAGAATGAAGAACAGTCAGAAATAAGTAATATGTATCTAATAATTTTAAAGTGTGTGTGTGTGTGTGTACAAATCATATTTATTTTGATTGTCCTTGTTCTCTAACCCTTTGGCACTTGTCTTCCTAGATCATAAACTCTTTCAGGTAGAGACGGTGTGGGTGTGGACAGTATCTAGCACATTGAGGTACTACAGGAAGACAATTAATAACTCAATAAATGTATAATGTAATTTTATAAAGTACTTAACTTTTGCTGAGCCACTAGGTAGAAGCAAACCCAAAAGTTAACTCTGTTACTGCAGTCAAAACACCTACCAAAATTGCAGCTAATGTTAAGTTTTATTGTGGGGTGTTGCACCATAATAGCCAGCATATTGAATTATCCAGCTTCAACAATACACTGCTCAGACTTTACAGTGCTGCAAAAATACTTTCCAAACAGGCAGCTCCTCAAAGCTTTCTTTAAGCAAATGTAGCAGAGCTGCAGATCATATGTTGTCAAGATGACTCAGAACTCCGGGATGAGGCAGTGCAATGCCCTTTTCAATTAAGAAGCATCCGTCCTTCTAAAAGAAAAATATATAAAATGCAGACCCATTGTTTTTGGTCTGGCTATATTCCAAACGTCCCTTCCCATCACAAGTAATTACTGATCCCTTCAATGGGGCAACAGCCAGCTACTTATACCATGGGGAAAGACTATGAATGTATCAGGTAGCAGAAGGAGGCTTATTTATGAAGCAGGAAAGCTTCTAGTTGCACACTGATATTTTAGTAATCAGCAATGGTGGGAAGAAAACAGATCACTTAACAACATTTTTTAAAGCTTGCCTCAGTGTAGAAACTACGCTGAAAATACAATTAAACTTTTTATGTTAAATCAACAGATTTCTCTTTTGAGTGAAAGGGATGAGATTAACATTGCATAATGTTAAACATGGATGAAATGCAACATCAAATTTTTCAGGAGCATCAGATTGGTAAATAAAAAATCTGAAACCATCTGTATGGAAAGACAGACTATTCAAGAACCTAGGAAGTCCTATTAGTCTCCAGTTTAGGCAGAGATCCAGGCCACTATTTTGAATTGTAATGTTGTAGTTGATTTCAATTTTAGATATTTGTAACAGATGTGGCATGTGCTGTTACAATATGTGAATGGTTCAAAAACTTCAGGAGTCCTCAAGTGATTTTGAAATGCTGAGACACAATTTATTTGATTTTTGTTTTTTAATTATACATATCTTGAAAGCATTTAAAACTGCTGTAAACACTGTATTGTATCATGTCATAAATATAGTCTCAGTACCAGAAAACTCACATAGGATGAAAATAAATGATGTATACAGGTAACTGAATGTGCTATGAAGAAACAATATATTATTGAAACATACAAAGAGAACACAAATTGCCAGAACTTCCTTCAAAGTTTGTCAGAAGAAAACAAAAAATGTAAACATTTACTATGTATATATTTTTGGATGGAAAATTAAGCCTACTACTATCTTGGATTACAACAGTCACCTAGAATGCATGTTTACTCCAGGCTCTGTCTTTGACATGTTCTGAGAAACATTTTGTAATATTAGATAAAAAGATATTCATACCAAAAAATATAATTTAATTGGAATTACATTGACTAAAATTATTTCCATTAGTATTAGTTTTGGAGTAAAAGTAGATTGCAAGTGTTCACTGTTTAGGTACTAATGTGCAACCACTTACATATAAACAGTTTTTAATAAGTGATTGCTATCATCAATTACTGTATTTTTGTTTCAGTTTTAATAAGTATGTCCATGCTCACTAAACACAATCATAATGCACAACATTCATTCAAAAACTGACATTGCACTACTTTACTGCTATGAGTATTTTTTCAGCAGCATTGTTGCAAATAAACTTGTCTGGGTGAATTTTAAAAAACAAGTAAACAAAATCAGCCTTTCTATACAAATCCTCACTTAGATTCAAAAAGCTAGAAATCATCTCTATAAAAAATCACCTAAGGACCATTTTAAATTAAGAGAAATAAAAAAGGTAATAGAACTATCCCTTCAATTTCTAGACTAATTTTTTTGGCGGTGCAGTAGGATTACTGTCCTCCAGGACCCCCAGGAAATGAGATAGAGATAGCTAGATCTTACTGAGAACATTTTTAAGTAAATACTGCTTTTATCTGATGTACTTGGTACCCCTGTAGTACATTCCTCTGTCTGGATTACAAAACACCTTTCTAAACACAATTTCTTACTTTTTCTGCGAAAGTAATTCTCTGTTCTGGTTGTACAAAGGTACTGATATAGCACTAAATGGCATTCCAGGGAAAACCAAAGCTTTCCTATTTTTAAAATCTGAGTTAAATGCACACCCATATTCTTAAAAGCAAGCGGCTCAACCTAACGCCAGACTGTCACTGATGCAGGAAGTTGGAAGACGCACATCTTCCCGGCATTCATAGATCAGCCACACTCAGGGAATTTGCAGTAAAGGATCATTTGGTCCATTGCCCCTACCTCAACCAAGGGTTTACGTAGCTATGAAACCCTCCCCACACCTAAAATAGGTTTTAAAATAATAACCTGAGCTAACCCAGCGTTAGGGAGCTAACCCTCCCTTCTTGCTATAGACTAAAGCAGAGAGGGTCACTCTCAGCAGCAGGAGGGTTTTGTGATGATCAGTGCAAGGTTGATAACTGCATCCTGTGTACCTCATTGGTGGGTTGACTTCGAAGCCCCCTCCCCCTTTGCTGTGATTTCTATGCATGGCGCAGCATCATACATGACTAGCATTTGGAAAGAGCCGATTTCACCAAAGACACGTCTCCGGGGCAACAAGCCACCAAATACTCAGCTGCCGGCTCCCACCACTTAAAAAGTCAGAGCCAATCGCGAGAACCGAGCCACCTTCCTGACCTGCTTCCGATCCGAGCGGCTGCTGACCCGAGTGTTGAGCACCCCATGCCCAGTCTGGGTGCCGTCTTCCGGGCGGGGAATCAGACGGAGGGGGACGATATTCTGCTTCTCCATAAATCGGTTTTCAGCCCTTCTCTCCATCTCCGTCAACAAGGCGGCTCCTCGGGGAGGGAGAAATGCACACGATCACGCCGCTGGCCCCGCTATGCTAAGCTGTTCTCGCTGCAATTACAAATCCCCCCCCTCCCCCCATCTCTCTCGCTCTGCGTGGACAGGGAAATAGTGTCTGACCCACGCTTACTGCTCACAGGGTACAGACAGCGATGTGATGGGGGCAAGATCTCCATCTTAATGGGGCTTTTCTTAAAAAGGTACCCTTACACATGCTCTCTCTTCCCCCTCCCATCCCCCCAAACACATAGCCATGAAATGTAGCTCGTGTTCTTAGCAGCTGCATGATGTTAATTGCACCGGTGTGGTTCCTACCATGCACCTGACAGACACATCCTTACCACTGGAAAGGGTAAGCCCCCAGTTAAAGGTCATTGCATGCGGCGATCATAAATGGTGGTAACTTACCTGTCTGCCTGGAATGAACCAGAAAGAAGGTCCCCAAGGCACAAAGCATCAAGGAGAGCAGGTAAGCAGCAGGCTGCATGGCTGTGTCCTTCCGTTCCCCCCACCCACCCGCCTTGGAAATTATCAGAGACAGGTCTGCATGGTGCAATATTGAGCAGCTTTGCGCTCTCGCCCCCTCTGTCCTGTGTGGTCTATGGCCAGCCGTGCATTGCTGCTCCCTCAGTACTGCATTGTGTTTTACTGGCTTCCGTTTGCTTTCAGGATCTTTTACTGCATTGGTTGTTTTGCTGTAGCTTAAGTGAATTCACGCTCCTCCCATCTCTCCTCATCCACATTCAGAAACCTCTAGTAGAGAGACTATATCAATAGCCAGCTAGGCTTCCTGAAAAAATCGCTCTCCACGACTTTGGAGAGGGAAGATGAGTGAGTGAGGTTAGCTGGGAAATGTAGTTATTAAAGCCCTGCAAGAAGGACATTTAAAATTATACTGGTCAGAGCATTAGAGGAAAAAGTATAAGGCACAAACTTGCCCCAGCAGGGGTGCACTCAATCTAGTAGGTTTTTTTACCTTTATTTTCCACGACACCAGTATTATTACTGACATGCCACTTGCATTTTGTTTAAAATGTGTCAGTTGCTGAGATTCCTCTTTGATAGGGTCCCCAGGGTTCCACCTGGAACTGGGGTACCACTGAGCCCTCTGACCCACCATCCTGAGCTCCCTCTCACACTATGCTGCTGTGACAAGCTGCAAAGACCTCCAGCCTGCACTTTCACCAGCATTCACAGAAGTAGGGACACACCCAGCTGCAGTTACACACAGGCTCTCAAATACCAGCTTCCCAGCCTAGGACACCAGAGCAGGACTATCCTGCCCTGGTCAAATCTGGCCAGTTATGGGTTTAATAGCCGGTTCACCTCTTCCTTAATGTGGTAACTAAGCAGAGATTTTCCCCAAGCACTCCAGTCAAAGCTCACTGGTTTAGATTAAAATATGAAATGTTTATTAACTACAAAAGATAGATTTTAAGTGATAGCAAATAGATCAAAGCAGATTACCTAGTTTGCATTTTATTTACTAAGTCTAAGATACTAGAAAGATAGGATATGAACAAGCAAATCCCCACCCTGGCTGATGAGACAGGTGGGCTCTAGATTCTTATGGGACAAGCTGCACTTGCTTTACAGCTTGGAATCTCCAGGTCTTTCATACACAGACTAGAAATCCCTTTAGCCTGGGTCCAGCACGTCCACCAGTTCAGTCTTTGTTCCTCAAGTGTTTCCAGGTGTCTTCTTGTGTGTGGAGTGAAGAACCAAAGATTATGTTCCTGCCTTATATAGTGTTAGCATATAGTAGGAACCCTTTGTTTCAAAACTTGGTTCCCACACCAGTTTGTAGTAAAATACTGACATCCCAAGATGGAGTCCAGAATCATGTGGCCTGGTCACATGTCCTTGTAGAGTCATAGCAGCGATTACTTACAAGCTGTTCTCAGGAAGGCTCACCAGGTAGGAGATAAGCTTCTTCTAAGGCCTGTTGTTTTCCCTAATGGCTCATTGCCCTGAATAGACCCTTCCCAACCAGCTATCTAGACTGAAAGCATCTTGGCTAGTGGGCACTACCCATGTGTAACTACATTTGAAATACAGATACGTAGTCAATATTCAGAATTTCAGATACAAAAATGATACATGCGTACAAACAGGATAATCATTCAGCAAATCAGAACTTTTCAATAGCACCTCAATGACTTATCAATCATATCATAATATTATTACTGTGAAGAATGAGGTGCAGCATCACATCCTCAATCAGGTGAAAAACACCATAAACAGTACTCACTAAACAGGTAAAGAATAGGTGACCCATTTTGTGCAGGGATGTGGAATTTAGTGGGACCTCTGTGCTGGATCTCTGTCCCCATTATCTCCCTTCTCCTCCCCCATCCTCAAGAGTCTGTTAACTATTCCCTGCATTTTCCCCCTTCTGTTCCCTCCTGTTCTTCCCCTTTTCCTCTCTTTTAGTCTGTTCTCTTTTCCTCCCTGCTGACTCCCCCCTCCTGCAGAACACCCACAGGAAATTTTTAAAATTGCATACAGAACAATACTGTTCACATTAAAATGTACTGTGTGGAACCTCAGGGTGAAACAAAGGTATACAGAATTCCTCATACTGTAATCCTAGCATACCTAGGAAAGCATCTGTCCTCAGCAGAGCAGCCTCCACATGTGTGACTCATATTCTACACTCCCACCCACTAGGAATTGTATGGCAGTATTAAATTATTGCAAAATTATTTGACAGTCTTCAATGGATCCATTTTTCAGAGCTTGACAGGATTAGAAACTGCATGAGAAAAAGAAAACCAACACTTTCCAACCTGGCAAAAGGCTGACAGTGGGGTACCCTTAAGGTGACCCAAAATTGAGATTAGTCGAGAGGACTGTCAAACTTCCGAGGGACCTGACTAAGCAACACAGTGGCAGTGAAATTGTATTGACCAACTGTGATGCTTTGAGATTCAACCGAGACCAGTAAGGTGTTGTGTCACTACCTGCCCTGCAACTCTGGTGCCAAGCATGCAGGTCATACCCTGGCTTCCACCACCATTCCTTTTTGAGAAGTGACCCCAACATCTTTCAAATCCTGAACTTCCCCCAAAACTGTCACCCTGCAGTGTCTAGCCCTCTTACTGAACATTTACAGAAGTGATTAAATGTGTTGCTCCTTTAAATAGACTATACACTGCAGCTCATTAATTTAACTGGGAGTTGACAAACACTCCTTTCACTCACAGCACTGCATTGGTTTATAGTAACAGTCAAACAAGTTTATTAAACAAAAATTCATAGGTTTAAGTGATACCAAGGATAAGGAATGAAGATAAAAAGGGCTTCAAGCAAACAAAAGTAAAAAATACTGTTCTAAAGACTAATTCTTAAATGCCAGCAAGTTACAAGCTTTGCCTAAGCAGGTTTCTCACCTTACTCAGTTCCAGAGACTTCAAACCCCTTGGTTGAAAGATCCAGTGCTCTGTGATTTCAAGAGCTCTGGCCCCTTGAGCCTCTCAAGTGATGGATGCCCAGACAACACTTCTTTCTCTTTCTGGGGTGAAGACACCGTTCTGTCTTCCCAAAGTTCATTGATCCTCCTTCAAGAGACAGGAAGTCCTCCTGGGGGTGGAGTCTCCATCCCCTGTTGAGATTCTTAAGAAACTATCTTCCCCCCTACTCTCTAGGTTGATGGCTTTGTTCACCCTTTATGTAAATATACCTTCAGTGTCTCTGCCTGATGACCAGGCGGGTTAGACAAGCAAATACACATTCCTCTGTCTAGGACAAACTGGACTTAGGCATTGTGGGCCGAACACATTTTAAGACCATAATTTTAGGACATATTTATAACATTTTGTACACACTTCATACATATGTCATGCAAGTATGTTAATGATCAGTGAGTTATTAGTTTTCCAACGGTATATTACATTTCCCATGATATATTTGGGTTTATATCATGACAGCGTGTTAGGTGTAGTAGGTATGAAAGGCATCACACAGAGTAGTGAACCACCATTGCACCTCTGTGTCATACTAACACAAGGCAATAAAAATTGGAAGGCACAGTGTGATGAATCCAGTAAACAGAAAACTGATGTATGTCACCTCTATTTCAGGGACAACGTTGACCATCATAGTTTGTACTAATGGGTCTTATGCATGACTCTATAGACCAATTTGGGAAGAACATTTACCACACTGGCAACAGAGCCATTTGCCTAGCTGTGCTGATTGAGCTGCATGTTGTCTCTGTGCCAGGCACTGTGCTTCCATCTGCTCAGTGTGATTCTTCTCAAAGTCCTGGATGCCCACCCCTATAGGTGGCCTCATGAAATACAAATCAATCACTAGTTGCTCAATGGTCGAGTCAGAAATGTTTATTTTGCCTCTGATACATCCATGTGTGGGGGTGGTGGAATCAGGGTCAAAGTCCACCCTGTACATCACCTTCTGGCCAGATAGGAGGAGGCAGAAACTCTATGGAAAGACCCTGACCCTGGAAGTCACCTGGCACTTTGGGTAAGCAGTGGTGGTATGGCAAACCAGGAGCATCAAGGAAGTAGGATGACCTGTAACCCTTCAGGAAAAAGTCCAAAGGTGGTCACTATGGACAGTTCCAACGAAAACTGCTGTTCACTATACATTGGTAGACAGAAAAAGAAACAAAATGATATTCTGTATAAAGAATGAGTCAGAAAATATAATGCTATTACATAAATCAATGGTACATTGCTGTGCTCCAGCAAGGGTTAGGAACCACCTGACATGACACCTGTCCCTTCCTCTTCCAAGCACCAGCCTGCCAGACTTACACTGACTCCCCTCCTGCAGAGTACATAAAGAGATAAAGCAGCTTAGCAGCTGCTTTTTGCCTTCTGAGTAGGTGACTACTCCTCACAGTTAAGTGCTACTGTCCTGAACCTTCTGAGATAGCATTCTCACTACCTCCTGCTCTGTTTTTTTTAAGGGTGGCAATCAGGGATCTGGTGAAGGAAACTCAATGAACTTCCTTTTATGGGAATGAAACAGAACAATATGCAGACTGGGAGGGGGTAGGCAAAATCATGGTTGGACAAGTGAAAGATGGCAGAAAATAAATGTTGTGGACAGTGTGGTGTACATGGAAATTTCTTCATCAACTGGGGTGGGGGTAAAAAGCATGTTATGTGGCAAGTTGTGTGGCTGCACATTTGCACTGCACAGGTGACTCTGCTCATGCTCTACAAACAAGGAAGAACATCCACTGGGAATGCACTCTAGGTGCATGGTTACTTTTCACAAAATGCATAGTTACCTTGTGACAGATCCACAAGCTATCATGGGGACCAAGTATGTGGTAGAATTAAAAGACAGTTTTATGGATAATGAGGACATCCAGAGTTACAACAGAAAGAATTAAAATATAGTTTGGAATGTTATAAAATCTGATGCCTCCAACTTATAAGGGTTAAGAAGAAACTTACTTCAAATATCCTCTTTAAAGCATGTCATACTGATCACCAGCAGAGACTCGATACAGGACTAGATAGACCATTGGTCTGATCCAGTATAGTTTTTCTTCTTCAGCTACCATTACCACTGTCCACATCACATGCCATAGGTTCATCAAGCCAGCATCAGCATAAAGCATAGGACATTTATAGTAACTACTACAAATCTCTTAGTTTAATTTCTGTCAGAGAAAGGTCAAAGGATTGGGGTGAGGAAGAGTGGTTGTATACACAACAATCCCTTTGTAGACCAACTATAGCCTCCGCTTTAATTTAGGTCCCATGAAATACAATCTCTTTAAGAATAATA